CCCCCCCCCCCCCCCCAAAATAAGGTCATTTTATACGCTATTAATCAGAATTGCAAACTATCGGCAAATTCTCGGCTGCACAAGCCAGCCTGCACCAGGAGACAGCTTCACTTTTTTCTCCTTTAAGGAAAAGGATTAGCAAACTTCAAATCATTGCGCTTGCATTGAGCTGTTAAGACAAAAGGATTTAGGGGGGATTTTCAAGATACAAACTTCAACTCCTTGCATGTCACTGATTGATTGGAGCTGGTTGGGTTTTCTTTTTCTTTTCTTTTCTTTTCTTTTTTTTTTTATATAACTTTTATAGTGATAATGATTTTGAAATAAACCTGGAATAAGCAAAAATAATAAACCGCTTTTGCAAATTTTTTTAAGAACAGACTTAAAGGGGGGAAAAGAAACAAAAAAAAGACGCAAGGTTATTAAAACCAGACTCTGCTCAAATGCAGCCTACTGACAGACAACTAAACATGGATAAGGCTGCAAAGTTTTGGCTGTGTCTCCTCCCCAGCTGACCAGCCGTACTTACTTTTAACAGCTTCTATTTTGTAGGGTATGTTGAGGTTGCCGAGGGAGGCCAAGGCACCCAGGAAAGCTGCCACATCGGTTGCGCTCTGGAAGCACTGGGAAGAGGACTGGATGCACTGGCGGTTGTCAATTTCCAAGTAAACGATGGATCTGTCAGGGAGAAACAGGGCGAGATGAGCACGCTGAGGAGACACAGCAGCCCTGTCTCCCTTCCCTCCTTACCACCCCCACCAGTGGGAATCGGAAGGTGGGACCCCCTCTCCTTGCTTCCCCGTGGCCCAAGCCCTGCAGCTGACACTCATGGTCTATTGGATTTGCCTCAATGAATACTGTGAAATCTAACTCTTTGTCTGCAGGAACAGAAGGGAGTCTCTGCTTCACAGTATTTTAAAATTACCCAGAAACTACAGTATCTTAAATCATGCTGTTTGGGAGCCTTCAGATCTTTTCACATCTGTTTCGCTGCTCTAACTCCTTTGCTTTCGGTGGCTTTTGATTGAGCCCGCAGAGAAGAAGGTTGGATCTATATGTTTATGCCAAAGATCTCCAAACACAGTTTGCAGTAATTGAGTTTTACAACAAAGCTCTAGAAAGCATTTCCCAGGGAGAAACTGAGGCTTAACTTAATGACTTCCTGAAGTCAGACAGTCGGTCAGGCCAACCTCTGCTTCCAGGTCCCACCCAGCCCAGCCCCGGCTCCCAACAATACACAGGACTCCTTCAATCGTGAGACTCGGCGCAGCATTGTACCAGGGATTCCTGAGCGATCACTCGCTTTTCCCACATGAGACCAAAATCCGGTTTCTATTCACACAGAAAGCAACGTCTAAATACAATTATCTGGCCTACATCCTTCCCTTTATAGTGCGTTACTATTATCAACACAGAAAACAACTGCTGCTCGGTGAGAAAGGAGCCCATTGGTCCCCCTTACCCTCTGATGTCCATCTGATCGAGCTCTCTCTTCTGCCTTCGGCCAGCCCTGGAGTAGAGGCTGCTCTTTACTTTGTTGATGACCGCACTGGACATATCTGACCAGTCCTCTGTTGACCTCTTGATGTAATGCTTTTTCAGCTCCTCCTCATTGCCGTAGTAGGGGAAGATCATATACTCTCCCTTGGCATTCTTCTTGAAGACCACGTTGGTGTGCAGCACGCGGCTCAGCTCCCGCAGGAAGTTGAAGGAGTTGTTCTTCAGGTTCTCGGGAGTGATGAGGACCACCACCACCAGCGTGCCATCCGCAAGCTTCTCCGGCATGTTGTTTGCACAGTCCAGACCGTCCCATTCACACTCAAAATTATTGCAGCCCTGGTCACAGTGACCATCTGAGAAGTGATCTTTGCAGTACTGGTCGTACAGGGGGCTGGGCAGAAGAAAAAGAAAGGCAGAAAAATGAGTTAAGACCAAGTGCTGCGCGTGTTACCCATCTGCTGAGAAAATAAGTGGTGGTCCAGGAGGACCTCTCTTTTGTGTAATTTTTCTTCATCCAAACACTAAAGCCAGTTTACACAGAAGGCAGCTGTTCCGTGCAGTGCTGGGAAACATTCACCTCTGCAGGTGAAAGGCAGCAGCTGTTAAATTGTAAGTTGCAACTCAGATGCCAGGAAACGGGACAAATTACTGTGACTCAGAGAAGACACGGGGACACAGAATAGTTACTGAGACCAGAGTTCATCCAGGAATCTGGGATTAAGTTCCTGCTGTTGCCAAAGACAATGTTTGGTGAATGCCTGGATGTTAACATCATCATGCTTTATGGCTGCTCTTCCATCTGGGGTCTCCCTACACTGAAACTCCCTGTGTTACTTCTGTGAGCTGGAGAATTCACTTCTGTGGCGTGATACAAGCAAGCACGGGGAAGCCATCTGGAACGAGCCAAACCCAGAGAGCTTCCAAGTGTATATAAACTCAGTAGGACCACAGGGAAGTGTGGTTGCTTGAGCTGCAGCCCCACAGGCAGCAGAACAGAACTGTAGAGAGCGAACAAACAGGTCTGCGCTAAGGAGATTTAACAGATGCAACCAGAAAATACCCCCAGATGATTAGAACAGCGGTGATGGCTTTAAAACAAGAAGGTCAACGAGCAAGTCACTTACTTGCACTGCCCTTCGTATTTCTGGCAGTCGAACCCATCGTAGAGGCAGCCAGCGTTGTTGCACTGCGAGTCGCACTTGCCGTCGTTGAAGTACTTCCAGCACTGCAGGGACTGGGAGCAGTTCTTCCAGGGGTCGTTGAAGTTGAGGGAGCAGTCTCCCCCGTCCCAGCCGCAGGCGTGGTTGTTGCACTTCCCGTCGCAGATCTTGTTGCCGGCGTACCCGGCGCAGACGGCGATCTCGCACTTCTCCTCGATTTTGGGTGGGACGATGTCCTTCCCGATCCCACCCTGGAAATCGAAGTCGAGGATGTGGCAGTTGAGGCCGTTGAAGTTGGCGGGGCAGTTGCAGCGGTAGTAGGGGGAGGCCTCGCTGAAGAACTCGCAGGTGCCCCCGTTGTAGCAGGTGGTGGAGGTGCAGGGGCTGCTGGCCGGGTACTGGCATTCGGGACCCGTGAAGGCCGGCGCGCACATGCACTTGGAGCTCTTGTGGATGGAGATGCAGGTGCCACCGTTCAGGCAGTGGAGGTTCCCACAGGTGCGGGAGTCGTTCTCGCAGGTGGCACCCACGAAGCCCTGGGGGGGTGACAGCCAGGAGAGAGTCACAATCACTGACGCTGCCCTACGAGCAGCCCAACACACGTGTGTCTTCTGGGGAACTCGGCACAAACCCAGTGAATCAGATCGATGTACCGAGGGCATGGCCCTGGCACGTCCTCTGAAATTTATGATGGGCAAGAATGTAAACCCAATTAGAGCATCACCTTCAAGATGAAGGGTGCTCTTCTCCATAGCTGCCTGCTCCACCTTCCTGTGGTGCAAATAATGGTCAACCAGGGAGAAGTGTGTCCTACAGAGCTGGGTGTCGTACCTGCAGGGCTGAGCCACCTCCTTCTCCCTGGCCCTAACCTGGTGTTTTTGCAAGTGAGGAGGGTATGGATGTATGGATACACCTCCCTCCAGCAAACACCCACAGCAGAGCATCTTCCCCTCCATGTCTACCCTTGGGGAAGCCTCAGGGGCTAAATTGGCCCCTTGACTTGGAGGGCAACACCCCACGCTCAGAGCTGGAGAGCAGCAGGTACCTACCGGGGGGCATTTGCAGATGAAGCCACGGCCGGTGTTGCTGGCAACCGCGCACGTTCCCCCGTTCCTGCAGGGTTTGCCTTTACAGCCGTCCACCACGGTGTCGCAGCGACGGCCTGCCGAGGGAGAGGAGGGCGTGAGGAGCAGAGGAAGGGGGTGCAAGGGGCTGGGGGGTGGCCGGGGGAAATGCAGCCCTCACCTGTGTAGCCCGGTCGGCACTCGCATTTGTAGTCGTTGACCCGCTGCACGCAGTTCTGGGTGCCGCGGGCGTCGCAGGGGTTGGACAGGCACTCGTTGACGTCTCCCTCGCAGCGCTCCCCTACAAAGCCAGGGGGGCAGATGCAGCTGTAGCCACCTACCCGATCCGTGCACTTGCCATTGTTAAAGCACTTGGGCCCCAGGGTGACAGGATCAAAGAAAGGGCTGCAGTCATCCACATTGATCTCACAGTGCACCCCTAGAGAGATGGGGGAACAACCCACACAGCTCATCAAACAGTATCGGGGGGCCCGGTGCTCCCTTGTGTCAACCGTCCCTGCCAAGGGGCTGAGCCTGGCCAACTCAATGGCAGTCTGAGCCGCTGCTCTGGCAGGAGGCACGGCAGCGCCCAAGGTTGCGTGGCCTTGATGGGCTAAGCTCACGAGCAACCACAAACCTCTACTGCTGCATTTGCTTCTGCTAGCCCCAGCAGCTAATGAGCAGATACCAAGGATATCCGCACTCAGCCCACTAATGCCCCGGCCTGGGGAATTAATTTACCTTGAGTTCCTCTGGGGCAGGAGCATTTGTAGGTATTGATGAGATCGATGCAGGTTCCTCCATTCTGGCATGGGTGGGACAAGCACTCATTGATCTCCTCCGAGCAATTAACTCCATGATAACCAGCCACGCACTAAGAGGAGGGAAGAGGGGAACTGTCAGAGAGGTTCACTCAATCCCCACACGGCTGCAGGAGCACAGCCTGCAACTTGGTACAGGAGCACCGAGCCAGCCTGAAGCTGGGGCAGCTCCTTGGGCAGCAGAGAGGCTGTAACTGGTGCTTTCTCCCCACACATCTCTGCCCCCTATGGCACCCACCTCACAGGAGTAGCCCCCCAGGTAGTCCGTGCAGGTGGCTCCGTTCTGGCAGGGGTTGGGGGAACACTCATCCACCTGCTCCTCGCAGTAGCTGCCGGTGTAACCAGCCTGGCAGCGGCAGAAGTGAGTGTTGCCAGTGTCCACACACAGCCCTGAATTCCTGCAGAGATGTGCTACATCGATACCTGCCGGGGAGAGCAGAGTGAGATGCGGGGACCTCGGTGACACCCATACACCACACGGCCATGTCCCAGCCACCAGGAATTGAAGCCAGGACTGCAGCCTCAGGGGGGTGTGTGTTACAGCCATCCTTGAGATGGCTCTGTTTGTGCCAAAGATCCCCACCATGAGACTTGACCATGTCCCTGCCCATAAGCCCAGCACGGGGGGTACCAGAGGACCTCACCCTGGCCCTGGGTGGCCATTCACATGGTGGGGACTTACCTTGCTGCTTAGCAGCCACCTCGCAGGAGACACTGGGGACGTCGCAGTAGAGCCCTGTCCACCCGCTGTTGCACTCGCAGCGGTACAGGTTGTTGGTCTGCCAGCACTTGCCTCCGTTTTTGCAGGGAGAGGAGTCGCACCAACGCACCAGGTTCTGGGGGGAGCAGAGCAAAAGATGGGGGTCAGGCCCCACCAGGGCTCCTGCAGGAGCGGAGAGACTGCAGCGACACCCCAAATCACGCACGGACGGACACCGGGGTCAGCAGCCGACAGCTCACGGCTCCTCTACCTGGCAGTTGAGTCCGGTGTATCCCTGGGGACAAGTGCACTTGTATGTCCCGTAGCTGTCCTGACACGTGCCCCCGTTCAGGCACGGCTTGGAGTCGCACTCGTTAATGTCATGCTCGCAGTAGCTGCCCGTGAAGCCGGCCGGACAGAGGCAGGTGAAGGTGTTGATGCCATCCACGCAGGTCCCACCGTTGAAGCAGGAGCTGGGAACACAGACATCACGTCCCAGTGAGTCACCGCTGGTGGTGCTCTGTGCCGAGACCCCCCAGAAACTGGCCCAGGGCTACGGGGCAGCACGGGGACCTCAGCCCCTCGCTCCAGCCCCCACAAAGGCTGTGCCCGTGCCGGGCTGTACCTCTCGGTGCAGTCAGGTGTGTTGTTCTCGCAGTGGATGCCGCTGAAGCCGGAGGGGCAGGTGCAGGTGTAGCTGTTGACGCAGTCGGTGCAGTTGGCACCGTTCTTGCAGGGGTTGCTGGCACACTCATTGATGTCCTCCTCGCACTTGGGCCCACGGAAACCAGCCAGGCACTCGCAGAAGAAGGTGCCAACGCCATCAGAGCAGGAACCACCGTTGTGGCATGGATCTGGGGAGGAGGGACGTGCATGTGAAGATGCAACGGGTCCAGCTCTGGGGCAGCAGCCCTGCCCGGGAGCTGCCCCACAGCACTGTCACCACACGTGGGAACATGTCCCCACACATTCTCAACAGGTTGGCCAGAGAAGTTGTGGATGCCCCATCCCTGGATGGGTTCAACACCACGTTGGACAGTGCTTTGAGCAACCTGGTCTAGTGGGAGGGGGTTGGAACTGGATGGTCCCTTCCATTCTATGGTGATTCTATGATGATTCTACGTCCACTGGCCACATAGAGGGATAACACAGAGCCCATGGACCAGTCCAACCAGGGGATTGAGCACAAGAAGGGCACATGAGACACACTTGCTCATTGCCCGCACATCATTCTGCCATTCCAGCCTCCCTTCTGCCAGCTCCTGTCCCCCCTTGGACTGATGCAGCTCAACCAGGACATGCTTGAGGTGGCCCAGAAGCCCAAGGAGGGCTTGCAGCATAGCCCAGGCCATGCATGGGGAGGAGAACCCCAGCCCCAGGAGGGGCAATGGAGCTGATGGCTGGGGCCAGGCTGAGCATGGTCTGCTGAGTGGCCCCAACTCTTACTGGGCTTGCAGTCATCGATGTCGGTGTCGCAGTTGCGGCCGGTGAAGCCGGTCCTGCAGGCGCAGCGGTAGCTCCCGTTGGTGTTCTGGCAGGTGGCCCCGTTGCGGCAGGGGCTCTTCACGCACTCGTTGATGTCGATCTCACAGGTCTGACCTGCGGGACAGAGAAGGACAGGGACCACATGGGCTGGAGGTGCTGGTGAAAGCCCCAGGGGACGATGAAGATGTCTTGGGCACCCAGAGTAGGAGCCCTCGCAGCCAACCACCCTGGCTGAAGAGTGAGGGTGATGGCCACATCCCATCCACCTGTCCGAACTGTGGGGCAGGTCCACAAGGCCACTTGCCCGCTGCTCCCCAGCCACGCTTCCTCCCTCCCCTCCATCTTCCACTCCCCGAGCAGCTGAGGAGAGTGGGGTGTGCTGAACCCCCAGACGGGCCATGCCCCTACCTTGCCAGCCAGAGGGGCAACTGCAGGAGAAGCTCTCATAGTCTTCTGACTCCTGGCACTCGCCGCCGTTCTTGCAGGGGCTGCCAGCGCAGGGGGCCAGCACGTCCTCGCAGGTGGCTCCTGCACAGGCACAAGCACCTGCTGACACCCCCTCCAAAACCAATGGGTGACCCAAGACCCCACTACCCCCATCCCCTGCCCTGGGCTGCTGCCAGCCCTGCGGAGGCTCTGGGCTTCCCCACCGCCCTGGGGCAGTGCAGTTGGGGCTTTCTGCTCCAGCCCTGCTCCCCCATGGCTCCAGGCCCCTCACGGAGCCTTTAAACCCAGGCAATCTGGGTTCCATTAAAGCTCTGCACACTTCCTTTGGCAGGGAACTGCCGCTCGGGGTGTCTTTTCCCCCTTGTGCTCCCCCCTTGTCCCTCTCAGCCGCTTTTCCTGTTTATGTCCAGCCGAGGGACACGTTCCCTCCGAACCCTTATCTTCCCTGTCAGCCAGTATCTCCCGAACTGGCCTTTGCTATTTTCCAGAGCCTTCCCCTCCCCTGCCTGCCCCGTCCCCATCC